ATATAAAGCAGTGGAAAAAAGGTGGAATATTAGAAATACTTTTGATCAAACTTTGAGCCTGAATGGAAACACTTCTGTCGGTCTACCCTTCAGGATTTTTAACTACAATCATCTTGTGTTGAAAAACAATGAAGTTGCAGCTGCTTTAGTCAAACGTTAAAATTAACGTTATGTGTGCTCAAAGTTTTTTGGTGTAAATGACTCTTAGCTACTACCACRTCAACTTACAGCTCAGWATCTGTAAAATGCATTAAGTTGTAGTCATTTATGTTGGCTAAAGACAGTTAGCTGTGGTGGCTAACTTCAGTTGGATTAATCAGTTACAGATGTTRATARAATGACTGGTTTCTGAAAGTTTCACTAACATCTGTTCAGTTGTTCATGAGATATTTTGTTAACTGACTCACAGACATGAGGTAAAAGCTTTATTCCTCCGCATTCTCTATCAGCAGCACATGAAAATAAATTYATAACAGTTAATCAAATGTAAAGTCCTACAGGGCACTGGTTCCTAACCTGGGGGGCCCATAACCTCACAGGTTGTGAAAATAGTAATTTATTGTTTATGTATAAAAATCACCAAATCAATTCCATAAAAAATTAACAAAATTTCTAACTAAAAAAAATTAACTTTTTTTCCTTATTCCAAAGAAAAGGTTGTAACTTTTCACTTTATTTTGATGACGAGATAAATGTTGAACATATCTTTTGGAGAGGTGGGGAATAGCACTGGATTGGGGGTGTGTGTGGGTGAGCTTAGCTTGGGAGAGGGGGGTTTGAGGAAAATACATTGGGAACCACTGAGAACACATCTTATTGCTAATCTTTATTTCATGTAAGCGCATAAGACCCTGTCACACTAGACAACTTATGCCAACTTATGACCATTTTAACGACATCTATGTTGAAGATGGAATTCAAAAAATCAACAAGAAGCTTCTTTTCAGTGTGTACATAATGTAATCCTAACAAACTGATCAAATATATAACTTATTATATATACTCATATATATACAAATATATAACTTATTACTTACTTATTAGGAATTTAGACATAAAACATGTTTCATATGTTGGCATAAGTTGTCTAGTGTGACAGGGCCTATAAAGACTTACCTGTGGAGGTGGACGAGGTGCTGCAGTGTAACGTGGGAGATGGAGTTCAAACTTAATCTTGATGCCAGCAAATGTGGCCACGGCCGCCACAAAGCCTCCAGCGTGGTTGGGGTTAGGGACTTGGAGATGTGCTTGGAGCCAGCCGTCTTTCCTGCAAAGAAGGAGACAAGAAGGAAGCTTAAAGTGCAAAACGTCCCAAAAGGGAAACCATAAGGCTGTGAACAGACGGGAGTTTTACTATCACCATTATTGAATCCTAAATTGAATTTAACGCTGTTCGCYACAGAAATAAACACCGTCGTAGAAAATCAGGAGAGGAGCAATTCAACATTTCTCCCTGAGCGTTGAGCTAAATCAACTCCCTCAAAGATTTCATGCCGAGTGTTCGGATTCTGTGCCAACAAAGACAGTCCAGGAGCGCACAAGAACCGTGTCCAGACCGCTTGATTTTATGACCCAGGGAGCCTCTGCACATAGAGGGAGCTATAAGTAAACTTAACGTGTGATGCGATGGATTCACATGTTTGCAGCACAGACTCAGCTGTCCATTAAAAGCACTCTTTTCCACTGGACCATTTTAACTTTATAGCAGCAAATTATTCCCGACAGTGGCCCTATTTTGAGGAGGAAAATGAGCTTGTTTCAGCACCAGAAGTGAGGGAGGGGGGAGATGTTTGAGTCAAATGGTTGCTGCCTGCACCAATGACAGTGCAGTAAAACTCTGGAGTTTGAGAAAATTGTCACATCCAGAGCTCTGAGTGAGAGCTTCAGTCTGTCAGATAATGTGCACAGCATTTTTGGTCTTGCGGCATTTTCTTCAGCCTGGAAGAGGCGAGAAAATAAAGCGTAAATCATTGTTTGGTGGAATTCTGCTGATTGGTCAGGAAGGAAGCCTGATAACAGCTGCAGTGTTTAAATTTTAAAAGAAATATCTGAAGATTTTAGTTTTAGTAACAATCTAGTTGGATTTAAGCTTTATGACCATGAAGTAAATGTTGCTTTCCTCTAAGGAAAAAAGAGCTCTAAACTCATGGTGCTGTAAATATTTATTACATTTTAATTCAGCTTACTTTCCATTTGATTATTCTTGTGAAACATTTCACCTGAATAGACCCTACGGTAGAAGAAATGTCAAAAATTTTATATTCTTTTTTTGGCTCTGGTACTTTACTGACTTATTTTCCCACCCCTATAAGAAACAWTTTTATGATTATTCACAAATTAGTTTTTCTGTTTCACAAATATTTAATTATTTCAGTTTCAGTTTTTATTCATTTTTTAATGGGAAAAAACATCTGAAATAATCTACTCAGACTTTCTGGATTATTACCTGCAAAGCGCAAACAACTCAGCAACATATACACTCAAGAAACAGATGTGTTGGATTTACTTAGCTAAGTTGAGTAATGGTAAAGCAGTTTTCACATTTTCTTTAAAGGTAAATGTGAAAGTTGCTTCACATTTATTCACGCCAGTTGAGTGGAACTTGAGTATGCCTGTGTAAAGGAAAACACTGAAGAAGTTTAAGAAGCTCATCCTCACGAAACTTGAAAGAAAAGTTTGGATTTCTTTCAAAGGGGTTCTGTGGAGTTGTGATTAGCAGTCAATATCTGACCTGCAGCAGACAACACTCAGAGTGGAGATATCAAGCAAACACTGAGAGTCTGTCCTATGGTGGATATCTGCCATCTGAAAACTTCAAAAATAGTTTGTTTTCACCCTATCAAATATAGTCAATTTTTTATATTTCCACTTCATGCTGTGTGTGAGCTACAAACTGCTGACAACTTTTAAAAAACCTTTCCACAAAAAAACAAAAAAAAAAAAAAACAATTATGACTAATCTTGCCTACAGCTTTTCTTTTAGTACAAATGTCTGGAAAATGCATGGCTGTCTCTTCTCTGAGCGTTTTCCTGGAGCGGTTCCGCAGAGTGTGGCTTGTGTTTGCTGCCCCCTGTAGTACTGGCTGGATCACATCCGTCGGGGGTCACCGCWGAGGCCCCTGGTGTTCCTTGGAGGAGGAGTCCAAGAGCTACTTAGTGGCAGGATGCTTTCCCTTTTTAAGACTTGAATGTGTTTGATTCTAAATAGAGCACACTTTTTTTTTCAAACCATCCTCAAACAAATGAGATGATTTGCAGAAAGCAGCCATCAGCGATCGATTGAAAAGCTGGCATGTGACGGTAACTGCGTCTGAGTGGGTTTTAGCGCTCTTTGTTCCCCMCTTTTAAAAAACGCGTCGCATTGAGTCTTGACCATCTTGCAGTGAGTCCGCCACATACATAGACTGTACACAAGAAAGGGCCAGTTCCTATCACTTCACCATCAACCAATCCAGGCCATTATTTAATCTCTACCTTTTTTCTTTCTTTCCTCTCTCCCCCACTTTTCTTAGAAGCATTTGAAAGGTGCCAGACAATGGCCGGTAATGAGAGCAATGCACACTGTGCCCCGTGCGCTGGTGAAAGTGACTATGGGGAGTGACTGCAAGGCCTCCACACCAGCCACTTCAGCCATGAATGGGTCCAATCATTGATGGCTCGGTCATTACCATCAACTGCCCTCTTGACGATTTACTCTGACTTCTTGGGGGKTTTTTTGTGGCGGCCAAACGAGCTATTCACCGAGCCTGATCAACTCAGCATTAGGCAGCAGCCTGGCACCCGGTGGAGACTGACCACCTGCGCGGCGCCGAGAAGAGCGGTCCACACCGACTGTTTGCTCATATTTCCTTGTCCTTTCACCGGTAACAGGGCTAATGTGAGTCAGAGATGGCGAGCGCCTTTACTCTCCACACACCAAAGTAAGGCCTAAAAGGTAATAATGACCGAGCATGTAATTCAATTTCCTGCGCTGACCGTAAAACTTTAATTGCCCTGAATGCAGCGACCACTGATAAATTATATTGAGGGGGTAAATATGTCAAAATATATTAAAAAGAGAAATTAGAACAAAAAAAAAAGTCACGAGGCTGGTTCCAGCCCGAGCTGCCAGTGTTGCGTTGAATGAAAACACAGACAGGAGGAAAGATTTATGAGTTTTCCATGTTGCGCCGTGCCTCTGCGTCGAAACGAAAGAGCTGCTGAAATATCTCTGAAGATTCAAAAACAAAACTGAAGAGATTTGAAAGCTTTTTAACTCGGCAAGGCTGTTATTAGGGTTTTCTTTCAGGCCTGCGCTGGATAAATCACATTTTCATGCAGCGGACAAATCGTCCAGACACCAGTGATGCTCTCTTTCCCTGCTCTCTGTTATAAAGCAGCAGAAAGGACAGGACCGCCCGCTGCTTCCCACCAACATAAAAGCAGGATACTTTATGCACGTTCACTTTCCCTCCCTGCACAGTGACCAAGCATAAGGTATTTTCAAGCATGTGTGTGGAGTTACATGCACAGAATATAAAGGATCCGAAGCCTTCCTGCTGGCTGGCTGGCTGGCGAGCATCTGAGGCGCTTCCCTGCAGCACCGCTCCAAAACCCC